GGGCTGGATTTAGCCCACAGGCCATAGTCTGGTGGCCCCTGCCTGGTATAAGATATGACTGGTTTCACTGGACTCATAACTTGAAGGAAATGCCATCATGTCTAAAACAACTCTTTCTGCACTTAACATCCTAGGCACTGGCACTTATAAAGGCAGGAAAACATCTACATTTTTTTTTTTTTTTCGAGACGGAGTCTTGCACTGTCACCCAGGCTGGAGTGCAGTGGCACGATCTCGGCTCACTGCAACCTCCGCCTCCTGGGTTCAAGTGATTCTCCTGCCTCAGCCTCCCAGCAGCTGGAATTACAGGTACCCGCCACCACACCCAGCTAGTTCTTTTTGAATTTTTATTAGAGATGGGGTTTCATCATGGTGGCCAGGCTAGTCTCAAACCCTCAAATGTTTCGCCCACCTCGGCCTCACAAAGTGCTGGGATTACAGGCGTGAGCCACCACGCCTGTAAATAAGATGCCCGGCCAAGGCATCTACTTTGTGGCATCTGAGTTGAGGCCAGGCTACGTGACCTTGGTTAGGATCTTATTTTTCCCATGGATTATTGGCAATATAAACACACATCTGTACGCCATGAAAGTTTTTCAAATTCTGGATTAAAAACACCATCAGTAACAAAATTATGAATACTTATTTACAAATAAGACATTTTCCATTAGCATGACACATGACAGTTTTCATGATAAAGTCAGCATAGAGGAGTATGTGCAATTTTGCATAAGTAATAAAAACATTCAAACTATCAATGCCCTGATAGCATGAATAAGTTCCACCAGGCATCTCTTTTGACTTTACAGTTTTTATTTCCTTTTCTTCATATATCCTTGATGTTGCTGAGAAGAAACTGAACTTTGCACAACAGCAGAAAAGTCTATAGTTAGTCGTGGGCACAGGCTCTTTCTTTTTTCTTCTTTTGTTTGGGACGGAGTCTTGTGCTCTGTCACCCAGGCTGGAGTGCAGTGGCTCGATCTCAGCTCACTGCAACCTCACCTCTCGGGTTCAAGTGATTCTCCTCCCAAGTAGCTGGGATTACAGGCACACGCCACCACACCCAGCTCATTTTTGTATTTTTAATAGAGACAGGGTTTCACCATGTTGGCTGGGATGGTCTCCATCTCCTGACCTTGTGATCCGCCCGCCTCGGCCTCCCAAAGTGCTGGGATTACAGGCGTGAGCCACCGCGCCCGGCCACAGGCTCTTACAGAGAGCATAGTGAGTGCTTGCACAAAACTTTGCTTTTGAAGCAATCCACTGACCTGGTGAAGATCAAAGTACAAACTTGTATGTTTATTGATTTGGCAACTCTGCTTATGGAGAAATACATGTACTAGTCACCAGTACATTTTAATATTGCTCTGCACTTAAATAACCCCCACCTGTCACTGAGCTACAGAAGTGTTGTTTCCATAAATGTTCCCAGTGATACCATGTAAGGTGATACCAGTAAAAAAAATTTCCAAATGGATCTTTTGTTCTGTTACATGGACAAATGTACCATCACTTAAGAAACAGAAATGCAGCAGCTTATCTCCACACAATAGCAAAGACTTTCTTACACGACTGTAACTTCTACTTAGTCCGTAGAAAACCAGTCCCTTTTCTAAGGGTGAAAAAATACCTCTCTTCAAGAGACAGGCGAAAATTTGAAAATCACAAGACTGTGCTCTTTATAGCCTTTCATCCCTCCCACAAATAGGTCAACAGTGAAAAAAGGATGAACTTTAATATTCTAGCTAGAAATGTGTACAAATGTCACATGTGGACTTTTGTCATCTTTTCTGATTATCGACTACTTCAATTTCACTTGAGTTGTGCTTTTATTCTTCTTTGGAATGGCAGTTCCAGAAATCATTAAATATTAACAAATGATGATGTCAGAGTTCTAGAAATAAAAATATCCATCTATTGTAGTACTAGTCCAACCTGAAGGGAGGGAAGAAATGGAATAGTAAGAAAAATTAGATCGCGATGTAGTACAACAGATCAGTCTTTCTAAAAGCTGTCATAAAGCTCAGCTCACACCTGTAATCCCAGCACTTTGGGAGGCCAAGGCAGGTGGATCACCTGAGGTCAGGAGTTGGAGACCAGCCTGGCCAACATGGTCAAACCCCATCTCTACTAAAAATGAAAAAATTAACCAGGCATGGTGGTGGACACAATCCCAGCTACTCGGGAGGCTGAGGCAGGAGAATCACCTGAACCCGGGAAGCGGAGGTTGCAGTGAGCCGAGATCACGCCATTGCACTCCAGCCTGCGGACAGAGCGAGACTCCATCTCAAAAAATAAAATAAAAAATAAATAAATAAATATAATAAAATAAAAAACAAAATAAAATAAAATAAAGCTGTCTTAAGCCTAAGTGAAGCAAGTGTGAAATTGTCTAGGTACATTTGTTGAGTTTACGAGGGCTATATCCACTTCACTTACCTTTTCAGAATCTGTACCTGGACACCTCCAATTGTACAGGTAATACTGCAAATTGCCATCTCCTATACCAAACTTGAGTTTTTCCAAGAATGTCTTATTTTCCATCAAATCCAGTGCGTTGAATACATCAAATCCTTTCTGCCAATTTAAAAAGGATTTAAAATTTAAAACAAAGGACTAGTGTTTTCTGTATTACATATCTCAGTGTAACAATTCTACTAGTAATAGCTTGAATATGCATTTCTAATAGAATTTAATGTCTGTGATATATAGCATAGGTTAAGAATTCAGGGTCGGGTGCCGTGGCTCATGCCTATAATCCCAGCATTTTGGGATGCCGAGGTGGTTGGACCACTTGAGGTCAGGAGTTCGAGGCCAGCCTGAAAAACATGGTGAAACCCCATCTCTACTAAAAATAACAAAAATTAGCCAAGTGTGGTGGTGCGTGCCTGCAGTCCCAGCTACTCAGGAGGCTGAGGCAGGAGAATTGCTTGAGCCTGGGAGGTGGAGGTTGCAGTGAGCCGAGATCATGCCACTGCACTTCAGCCTGAGTGACAGAATGAGACTCTGTCCTTTTTTTTTTTTTTTTTTAAAAAAAGGAAGAATTCAGTTTAAAATTGTCTTATAAAATTAGCAGTGTGGCTGGATGTGGTGGCTCACACCTGTAATCCCAGCACTTTGGGAGGCTGAGGTGGGAGGATCACTGGAGCCCAGGAATTTGAAACCAGCCTGGGCTGCAGGTGTAGGTACAGGTACAGGACATTGTCTCTACAAAAATAAAAAGATTGACTGGGCATGGTGGTGTGCGCCTGTGGACCCAGTTATGCAGGAGGCTGAGGCAGGATTGCATAAGCCCAGGAGGTCAAGGTTGCAGTGAGCTGTGATTGTACCAGTGCACTAAGCCTGAGCGACAGAGAGCCTCTCTCAAAAAACAAACAAAAAACTATAGTGAATCCGAAGAAGTCAGCATGAAAATTCAGAAATGCTGAATCCCAAAAATGTTAAAAATGTAGTATGATGGCTGTCACTGGCATAAAATTACTTACGAAGATTTCAGAAAATATTTTATTCACGTTTAATTTACTTATTTATTTTTAATTTTTTTGAGACAGAGTCTCACTCTGTCACCCAGGCTGTAGTGCAGTGGCATGATCTCGGCTCACTGCAACCTCCACCTCCCAGATTTAAGCAATTCTCCTGCGTTAGACTTCCTAGTAGCTGGCATTACAGGCGTACACCTCCATGCCCAGTTAATTTTTTTGTATTTTTAGTAGAGACGGGGTGTCACCATGTTGGCCAGGCTGGTCTTGAACTCCAGACCTCAAGTGATCCACCCTCCTTGGCCTTCCAAAGTGCTGGGATTACAGGTGTGAGCCACTGCGCCCGGCCTTGTTCCTGTTTTAGAAGGGAATAGTTGTCAAGATGGTTTCATCTCCAGGATTATTAATTATCAGCCTTTGTAAGTCCTACCTTGGCTGAAGCTATTGCCCAGGGACCAAAGTTGTAAAGACTTTAAATAGTATGCAGGCGAGGCGTGGTGGCTCATGCCTGTAATCCCAGCACTCTGGGAGGCCGTGGCAGGTGGATCACCTGAGGTCAGGAGTTCGAGACCCACCTGGTCAATATGGTGAAACCCTGTCTCTACTAAAAATACAAAAATTAGCCATGCGTGGTAGCACGCGCCTATAGTCCCAGCTACTCGGGAGGCTGAGACAGGAGAATCGCTTGAACATGGGAGGCGGAGGTTGCAGTGAGCCAAGACTGTGCCACTGCACTCCAGCCTGGGTAACACAGCAAGACTCCATCTCAAAAAAAAAAAAAAACACACACAAATAGTATGTTTGCTTTGGGCTGATACTGGGAAATACGTTTAAGTAAAATTTTAATGGTAAAACATTAAATGTCTTTAAAATGTCAGACAACAATACTATGCAAAATGTGATATAGAAGAAGCACTTTTTATTTTTCTTTCTCAGGGTTTTTACCTTAAATAACTAATTACTGGCCATATTTTGGAAGTGTTGAAAAAAAGCTGACAATCTGAGGATGATGTTGACTTGGGGATTCAAAGGCACAGGTAAGAGATTTTTATTTTATTTTAATTAATTAATTAATTTGAGACAAGATCTCACTCTGTTGCCCAGGATGGAATGCAATGGTGCGATCTCGGCTCACTGCAACCTCCACTCCCAGGTTCAAGTAATTCTCCTGCCTCAGCCTCCCAAGTAGCTGGGATTACAGGTGTGTGCTATCACACCCAGCTAATTTTTGTATTTTTAGTAGAGACAGGGTTTCATCATGTAGCCTGGCTACAATTAAATGTTGAATTTAATTCCTTTAATTTTAAAATTCAGAGACTATTTGGTTGAATAAAAAAATCGCTGCTAGTTATTCACTCAACACAAATATTCACTCATGTATTAATATTTTCTTTATATTATGGAATCATATCTTTTTCTTATATTCATTATATTACTTCCTAATAGATGGGCTTTATACATCCTTTTTTTTTGAGACAGTTTCTGTCACCCAGGCTGGAGTGCAGTGGTGCAATCTCAGCTCACTGCAACCTCTGCCTCCCAGGTTCAAGCAATTCTCCTGCCTCAGCCTCCCGAGTAGCTAGGATTACAGGCACACACTACCAAGCCTGGCTAATTTTTATATTTTTAGTAGAGACGAGGTTTCACCATATTAGCCAGGCTGGTCTTAAACTCCTAACCTCAGGTGATCCACCCATCTTGGTCTCCCAGAGTGTTGGGATTGCAAGCCTGAGCCACCATGCCCAGCCTTATGTATTCTAAGGGTTAAACATTTATAATTTATATATTTTGTCTTTTTGTTAAACTGCAACAAAATTAATAATGAAAATAGCCTCTAAAGTTTCAAAAGAAACTCTTATCAAAATTCTTCCTTTGATGATCGATAGATTTTTTAAAATACTGCATATGGCCGGGTGCGGTGGCTCAGGCCTATAATCCCAGCACTTTGGAAGGCCGAGGCGGGTGGATCACAAGGTCAGG